AAAAGCAAGAGCTCAGTAAAGCGATATATCAGGTAGGCGTTACCTTAACCGTTGGTCTGGTTGCCCTGAGGAGAGACAAATTGGAAGGTGTGGAACAGCTTATGGTTGTGGCAAACGCAACGGGGTGTGGCCTTATCTTCAACGGCCTTATGCTCCGTGAAAGCACGCCGACGTTTGCGACAACTGCGGAACTGGTCGGAGTGGGTATAGTATTTGCTAGCATTCATTTGATGTTCTCCATACATTTGGTGTGGTGGCTACGAATCATCGTAGCTGTCTGCTGTGTCTTTTGTATTAGACCTTTGATAATGGCGGAAGTTGGTGCCAAGACCAAGAAGGATAATGGGGTGGCCACCAAGTAATAGTAGTATATATATGTGAATTTAAGAACACTACTAGAAATTATGGAATTTCCGATCACCTGAAAGTGATCTTAAATCAAATTGATACCAAAAAGTGGTCGGAAATAGCAACAAAAGTTTTTTCGGATACCGAAAGTGGTCGGAACAAGGCTTTCGACTTGATTTAAGATCATTTTCAGGTGGTCGAAATTTTCATAATTTCCAGTAGTGGAATAAGATTGAGCCACATATATGATGGCAATGATGCAGTAATATTACATCTACTCTTACTTTCAAATCATTCTTGATCAGTTGTCATGTTCTAATTGATTGAAAAAAATAATGGGCAGTTGTTTTTATTCTTTCACTTTTCTTTACCCAATAAAATTTGTATATGTAGTGAGAGTTATACTCTATGAGAGATTAAAAGTACATTTATCATTTCCCTCCACGAAATGGGTAGGAATACTACAGGTTTAAACTAATTAAGGGTCTGTTTGGAAAGCAGGAAAATGACTTCTGGAAAATGTTTTCTGGAAAATGAGTCATTTTCCGGAAAACATTTTCCTTTCCAGTGTTTGGTTGCATTCTGGAAAACTGTTTTTGTGTGTTTGGTTCATTTTCTGGAAAATGAGTAGAATTGTATAATTAAACATTTTAATTATTTTATTTAGAATATTACAACATGTATAATAATATATAATAATAATAATTTTAAATATAATAAAAAAAAAACTAATAATATATCAAAAATATTATGGTGGTGGTAGTGGTGTTATTTGTTATAACTGGTGGTAGTGGTGGTGGTGGTGGTGTGGTGACGGTGGTTGCAGTGCTATGGTGGTGGTGGTGGTGGCGGCGACGGTGGTTGCGGTGGTATGGTCGTGGTGGTGGCGGCGGTGGTGGTTGCGGTGGTATGGTCGTGGTGGTGGCGGCGGTGGTGTGGTGGTGGTGGTGGTTGCGGTGGTATGGTGGTGGTGGCAGCAGCGGTGGTATGGTGGTGGTGGTGGCGGCGACGGTGGTTGCGGTGGTATGGTGGTGGTGGCGGCGGCGGTGGTGGTGGCGGCGACGGTGGTTGCGGTGGTATAGTGGTAGTGGTGGTGGCGGCGATGGTGATTGCGGTGGTATGGTGGTGGTGGTAGTGGCGGCGGTGGTATGGTCGTGGTGGTGGCGGCGGTGGTGTGATGCTGGTGGTGGCGGCTGCGGTGGTATGGTGGTGGTGGCGGCAGCGGTGGTACGGTGGTGGTGGTGGCGGCGACGGTGGTTGCGGTGGTATGGTGGTGGCGGCGGCGGCGACGACGACGGTAGTGGTGGTGGTGGCGGCGACGGTGGTTGCGGTGGTGGTGGCGGTGGTAGCAGCGGTGGTGGTGGTGGTATGGTGTTGATGATGTTGGTGATGGTGTGATGTTGGTGTAAAAGTTGGAAAATGACTTCCCCCCAAAAAAAGGGGAAGTCATTTTCCTCCAAAACAAGCCTATTTTCCAAAGTCAACGGAAAATGATTTCCGTTGACTTGATTTTCCAGGCACATCCAAACAGTGAAAACTTAGAAAATGATTTCCAGAACTCATTTTCCAGGTTTCCAAACACACCCTAAGGTTAAGTACATTTTATGTTTAGTCTGAGATGACAATATTTAAATATGTTTAGCTTATTATAAAATATGAAGTAATAGAGAGAACAACTAAGGAAGAAGATAAGAATGGTGAGAAAATGTTTAGAAAACAAAGGGATGGAAGAACAAATTATATTATGTGGGAGGTCATAAGATCAACTCTCAGTAGAGGCGTTGTTAATTCTGTGTGTTTCATTAGATTGAGAAAATATGTTTGAACAGATACTATAATGTAAAGAAAATAATTTATACCCCTCGATCAATCAATTACTATGTCCCCCTTTAATTTGTAGGGGCGTAAATGTTGCTCCTCAATTTTCAAAATGTTGTCATATATGCTTATCCTTAATGGAGCTGTGATTACCTATTATATCGCCCCATTTAGTAACGTTAAAATGATAATTTCATATTTAACTTTCTATTTATTCCTTTTCACTTTAATTTCTTTCTCGTCTGTCTCCTTCGTTTCTTTTTACAAATCCAAAACCCATTTCTTTCTCCTTCTTCAAATCCCTAATTTCATTTGTTAGGGAGAAGTATGGGGGAAGTTTAAAACTGAGCTTAATTCTTCACCATCATATCTAACCATAGAGATAGCTTAAAGCATCTCGAGACTTGAATTAAAAAACCAATTTCCCAAGAGTGAAAGCAAATGCATAATCAGCAACTTCCACTTCAGCTCCAAAAACTCACCTCATACTATGCTAGTTACAAGTAACTCCTTCTATTCTCCCCTTTCGTCTCAATTCTCATCCTCTAATATTCATACGTACGGTGATATTGTTAGAACTTTTCATTATGTTAGACATATACTGGGATTAACTAAGGACCTGATTTCTTTAGAAAGTTTGCATGCTAGTGGTTTTATTCATAGATATGAAAGGGATGATAAAGAAAATATTAAAATTAGTAAGGGATGATAAAGAAAGTTTGGATGCCAATTAAGTATTCAGATATCAATGTTGTGACAATAGGGATTATCCATTTATCCCTCACCGAACTGTAGCCTACACTTGGTCGGTATCAGATCCATTACTTGAATGGAGCTCGACTCGACTATCACTGTCCTGAATTGCTCACCTTCACAACCTAAAATCAGACCGAGCTAAACATTAGACGACCAGACAAAAGAGCTATATCAATCATTTTTGTCCCAACCATATTAAGTCGGGCTGAGCTACCGACTGATAATATATACTTACGCCCAGAGCCTAATTCCCACTAGTATATAAATGAATTTTAACATCGGTTATTTGGAGCAATTAATGTCGGTTAAAAAAAGATGATATACAAAGAGACGTTGTACAATAAACATACAACGTCGGTTAAATAAAAATCGTCATCGTAATTTTTTTTTATTTATTAAAAAGGGCATACAACGTCGGTTATTAATAAATAACTGACGTTGTAATTTTATTTTTATTTTAAATAAAATCATACGATGTCGGGGTTTTTTTTTTATATAACTGACGTCGTATAGTTTTATTTTTAAATAAAAAAAAATTTACAACGTCAGTTATTTATTCATGATTGACATTGTATATTAGGTTAATTTTTGTAATTTTTCAATAATATACCAAGTCAGTTTTTAGTCAAAAATGATACGGTAAGTTAATTTTTTTTAGAAAATAAATACATGCATACAACGTCGGTTAGACACTTAACCGAAGTTTTATGTATTTGTTTATTTAAATATTACATTTTATTTATCAATTTCTTCTCTTGATCGTGTGTTCAAAGACCAAGAGAAGAAAGAAGCAGAGTGGTAAAGTAGCGCTGCAGTTGCCAGTTGAGACGAAAGAAGAGTGGGGGATTAGGGTTTCAGATGAGTAGATTTTACAGCACGTTTGGTTCACGGAATGAATTTTGAGGTAATAGGAATGTTATTCCATAAGGAATGGAATAGGCAAGGAATAGAATAGGAATTGTATTCTATTGTTTGGTTCGCGGAAGGAATAGACTTTAGGAATTATATTACAGTGTTTGGTTGATTTAAGGAATAGAAATGAAATATGTTTTAAAAGACATAAATACCCTTATAAAAATATGTGATGGTGGCAATGGTGACGGTGGTGGTGGCGGTGGTGGTGGTGCTAGGGTGGTAGTGGTGGTGGTGGCGGTGGCAGTGGTGGGGGCGACGGTGGTGGTGTTGACGGTGACGGTTGTGGCAGTGGTGGTGGTGGTGGTGGTGGTGCTGGGTGGTGGCGGTGGCGGTGGCGGTGGTGGTGGCGGCGGTGGCAGTGGTGGGGACGACGGTGGTGGTGGGGGCGGTGACGGTTGTGGCGATGGTGGTGGTGGTAGCGGCGGCGGCGATGGTGGTGGTGGTGGCGGCAGCGACGGTGATGGTGGCGGCGGCGGCGGCAGTGATGGTGGTGGTGGTGGCGGCAGCGTCGGTGATGGTGGCGGTAGCGGCGGCGGTGATGGTGGTGGTGGTGGTGACGGCGGTGATGGTGGTGGTGGCGGCGACGACGATGGTGGTGGTGGTGGTGGCGACGGCGACGATGGTGGTGGTGGTGGTGGTGGTGAAATAGGATAAATTTATATATATGATAAAAAAAATTAGGTTAAAGAAAGGGGTAAAAAAGGAAATAGATTCTAAAATCTATTCCTGAGCGTTCAGTAATAGGCTAATACCAGGGGGGCCCTAGTAATAGCTATTACCTTATTTGAGGTAATAGGCTATTACCAGGAATATTATTCCTGGTAATAGAAGTGGTTACCAAACAACGGAATAGGCCTATTACTGGGAATGTTATGCCATTCCCGACCTATTCCGTGAACCAAACGGGTCATTAGTGTTTATAGGTTGGGTGTTGAGTTTGGGTTATTCGGGTCGAGTTGGCTTGGGCCAGATTTTTTGTTGGGCTGTACTTAAATATATTATTGTAATAGGCTTGAATAAATATAAGACATGATAATTTGTTTTCCAATCGTTATACGGTTGCAAAACGACACCGTTCCATTTTTTTTAAAAAAAAATCGTTCGGATTGCCGTTAACGGTGTTAGACGGTTGGAGATCGAACGTAGCGGTGAGGAGAGAAAACATGGAGGCAAATTCTAAGGATATGGAGACGGCCATCCCAGGTACTGAATAAGAACGAACTGATTAAGGGTGTGTTTGGTTGACAGGTTTATCTTTAAAGAATGGGTATCAAAGTGATTGGTACTGTTTGGTTGATAGGTTTTTATAATACTACTATGGATTTCAAATACCTCTTAATTGAAAAATCCATATCCAAATAAAATAAGGGTATCATCCCCTTATTCATCCCCAACCCCTTTGATTAATGCTTTTAATTTTTTTTTTCTTTTTTTTTTTGTTCAAATTGGTGTTTTGGATGTCTATATATTAGAATCAATTGTCATGCTTTTGTGTTCTTGTATTTTTAAAATCTTTATTCCCATTATATGATCAATTGATCATACATAACCAAACATCATTATATTATTGATAATCATTATTATTCCACCATTAAAATACTTTCACTAAAACCCAATGTTGCAAAAATCCCGCCTAAGCACCGATTAATCAGCGCGCTAGGCGCTGGACGGCCGCCTAGCGTATCACCATAATCGGTGGTCTAGGTGACTGGCCAGCTAAGCGGCCGACTAGGCTGCCCAAGTGTCGTATAGGCCGCCTAGGCATTGACCGACTAGGCCTCCTAGGCACTGACTAGGTCGCCTAGGCACCGACTAGGCCGCCTAGGCACCGATTAGGTCGCCTAGTCGGCCAATTAACTATTGTTACATTCTTTTTTAAATGAGTTATTTCACTCAAAACGGCATCGCTTCGAGCGAAATAACTCTAAATTGTTCAAACTCTAGATGTTTTTTAGATTAATATTTAATATTTTAGTATTAACTATTGAAATAATAAATAGTTTATAATTATCAAGTTTTAAAAATTTTTAAAAATTTAAACAAATTTTTTTTAAAAAAAAAATAAAAAAAAAAAATATACGGGTATCTAGGCGCCCATTAATCCCCGCCTAGGCACTAGGCGCTCCTTGAGCGTCTGATGCCCGCCTAGCGATTTTTTCGACCATGCTAAAACCCATTACCATTACAAGTATTTGAAACCGATCTCAATTTCGATTCTCATGCATGTGCGAACCAAACACACCTACCAATAGTGTTGTGCTTCATTAACACACACTAGCTTGCAATCTTGCATAATGACGGACATACGAGTGCATAGCCGAACATGTAGAATATACGAAACAACACCACACACGCGTACTGCTAAACTATACAACGACTTACAGTGAATAAGATGAGAATTGTAGGAAACTGTATATTATGAACTGTGAATACAATGTACATGTTAGAGGAATATATATACAAGAGGAATCACATAAAAACTAGAATAGGAAGTCAAAACTATGACTCAAATACAAGAATTCTAATACTAGTCCTAATAAAGAACCCCACACGAAGGACAACAGCCAACGTCCAAACAAGGCATAATTGCACAGCACTAGCAGTCAACGAAAAGTCGAAAATGATAAGTAGAAAGAGTTTTTTCCACTTTTGGTCCCTTGACTTTACTTGTGCTGACAAATGGGATTCATGACTTTTATTTCAGACAGGATTAGTGCCTAACTTCAATTTCTTTTCCACATTTGGTCCCATCCGACCAAGAATCCGGCCAACCCACCGAAAATTTACACATCTCTTGTTTTTCTAAGGGTAAATTAGTCTTTTCTTGTCATGGTAAAATAATACGTAGTAAAAACTAAGAAATATTTAATTGCTTCATTCTCGTCAAATTAAAGTTGCTTCCTATTATTTATTTATTTATACCTCCATCCTCATCCTATAAGTCAATGTCACTGCTAGTTTCTTCCCGAAGCTTCTCTGCTAATTGATATTTGCGTCTGCTCGACGGCGGTGATAGAAAAAAGCTTTGTTCGGTGGAGTAGAGTCATCGCGAGAAGCCATACAGGGCTCTCTGAAATGTATATGATCTTCAAGCTCCTGATCATCGGCGGCGAGATTGTTGAAGAAGAAGGCGAGTGGGAGAAAAAAAGATAATTTTCAAACAGAAAACGAGGATCGTTGCTGCAAATTCTCTCTAGATTGTCTGCTAAATGTATGTATAATGTAATTTTGCAGATATAGTGTAAACTTGCATGTAGATTTGAGAAGTTTATAGTGTAGGTTTACAGGATATATATTTGATTCGTGGAATTTATCAGAGGATTCTGATTGTGTTTGATTTTTGAATACTCTGTGCTGTTATGCAGTGCGTAAATTTCGGAAGAGCGGTTTGGATTTGGAATTCACCGAGAATGGCTGCGAAGACGATGATGATGAGAAAGGAGGCGGCAGCGCAGGGAAACGGAGCGGCGGCGACAACGACGGCGGCGAAGATGAACGAAGTGATGTTGTTCGCGAAATGCGAGTGTTGCAGATTGACGGAAGAGTGCACGGAGGCGTACGTAGCGAAGGTCCGAGAGCGGAACCAAGGGCGGTGGATATGCGGGTTGTGCGCGAGGTCGAAGCGACATATTGGCAGTGAAGTTCAAAGCTCAGAGGCCGCCGCCGAGCAAAGACAACAATGAAGCAATTAAATATCTCTTAGTTTTTATTATTTTACATGACAAGAAAAGACTAATTTACCCTTAGAAAAACAAGAGATGTGTAAATTTCCGGTGGGTTGGCCGGATTCTTGGTCGGATGGGACCAAATGTGGAAAAGAAATTGAAGTTAGGCACTAATTTTGTCTGAAATAAAAGTCATGTCATGAATCACATTTGTCAGCACAAGTAAAGTCAAGGGACCAAAAGTGGAAAAAACTCTAAGTAGAAAATAGAAACCGAGAACAAACACAACCAACATAAAAAAATAAAAAATAAAATAAAATAAAATAAAAAGAGGAAAAAAAACATACCAGGCAGTCAGGCACCATAGGGAAGACCAGTTGCATGCCGGAAATGACTCACAATCTTGCCGGCGACGAGCTGCTAACAACGGCAGAGAGAGAACTGATAATGGCATAAACGAAAGGGAAAAAGAAGATCAACTAATGAACGTTTACTAAGCTTTAAAAAAAAAAGGACAACTACTATTTTAAAGCCCCACTAATAAAGGAGTAATGAACCAAATAACCAAAATGCCCCCCACATGACAAAAACTGCCAAATAAATATATACTACACAATAAATAGCACCCATTAAGATCACATAAAATCAAAGGTCACAAAACGATCACCCGTTCTCACCTAGCAACTAGTTCTCATATGATTAAAAATCTCTCTCTCTATATATATATGATCGCGTTCAGGTGCGAATTGCCCGTCCAAGAGATAATTGAGAATTATTGCGTGCGCCAGATGTCCAGATCAACGAATCAAATGTAATTTTTAAAAAAATGACGCTGTAACATTTTCGTAAATAACTCAAACTTTGGTGCATGTAAATGTGTTATATGTGCAAGTAGTTGGTGCACCTTTGCAAGTAAAAAGTGCAGGTAAAATCACTACTGAAAATTATGGAATTTCCGACCACCTGAAAGTGACCTTAAATCAAGTTGAAAGCCTTGTTTCGACCACTTTTGGTATCCGGAAAAACCTTTGTTGCTATTTCCGACCACTTTTTGGTATCAACTTGACTTAAGATCACTTTCAGGTGGTCGGAAATTCCAAAATTTCCACTAGTGAATAACTTATAAGTGCACTTACTTTCACCTACAAGTGCATGTAATTTTGCTTTGTTAATACTCATTGATCTGAGTTCGTTCTGTTTGGCATCGCTTTTGTTCTTGCGAGGGAGTTCAGCGGGTAATTAGTACTACCTGTGAAAACCACCCGCAAGATGGTTTGAGGGAGGGGTTGACGGGATAGGTACACCTTTGCAAGTAAAATGTGCAGGTAAAGTCACTAATAAGTGCGTTTACTTTCACATACAAGTACATGTAATTTTGCCTTATTAACATTCATGCACCTAGATGCAACTACTTATATATATGATTTGTTTTTATCATAAAAATGTTGAATTCTATTAGTTTGCATGTCGGGATAAATAGGTATAAGACATGTACAAGTATTATTCTAGTGGGTTCGGGTAATTCTTTAATTTGTTTTGCTGATTTGTTTTAATATTTTAATTTGTTACGCAAAATACTACTACTCCTAAATTTTATTCTTCTCTCAAAATTTTGATATTGATATTTTCTTCGGAATACACATGATAAAGATAACAAAATTCATTATCACATAAAGAAGTAAAAGTGGAAGAGTAGAAATAGAGAATTCATGTAATAGAACTCTTTTATTACTTCCTTAGCTTCCTAGTCCATCAAAACCTCACCAACAAAAATAAACCCTTCTAAGATCAAGATTTTTTCAATAAAATAACATCATCAACCAGAGTTATGCTTCTTATGAGATGATAGGGGAGAAAAAAAAAGAGAAAAGAATTACGATATAAATATTATTATTTTATTCTAATAATTAAAATTTTCTATCTATCTGTTGACTCACAATATTTTAATTTTAATAAGATTAACTTTATTCTTTTTTTCAAAAAATATATAAAATAAAACGGATTAGTGACGGTTGGCGCATGGCGCATGAGAGAGGAAAAAAGACAAAAAGCGAAAATAAAACGGATTAGTGAGGGATGGCTCAAGACGGATTAGTCTATTGTTTTATCGGAAGACGGAATCATAAAAAAGTGGTAGAAATTGACAATTTGTGTCCGACTAGAAAGAGATGTTTAGCTCCTGAATTGTGTGGCAAACAAGAAACATTGAGACGATATTCACGCCTCTCCAACGAGATTTCCAAAAATTTTGCAATGCAATCACATATCATTCCTTACATTAATTAATAAAGGAAGATTTTAAAATACATCATTATTGTCAACTACCATGTACTGTGATGACATCCCGGTTACGTTATCCATTCAAGTGGATGGTCAAAGGTTTGAACTCCGATAGTGGGTGCTTAGATTCTTTGAGTTGAAAATATTTGAAAAAGCATAGAACCAATATTACCTTGTAAAGAATTATAAATATTTCAAAAAAATACATCATTATTAGTTAACAAAATTTTTTCTTTTTGAGTGACGAATGAAATTTGTAGTCATTATGTAGGGGTGGTTAGCAATAGACCACAAAAAGACTAAGAAAGCCAAGTCCGATTCGAGAGTAAAATTTGTAACCTTGTTATTACCAAATCAATATCATGATCAATACAGTTAGGATTGTCTCATATAATGTTATCTTATAGTGCATACAAAATTAAATATAATCATTTTCATAAACAAAAATAGTAATTATGTAACGATTTATGATTTTTAAAAAAATATATTTTTTGAAAGTGTTGTATATATAATTTTTTCCTGATCAATATTTTGAAATACCCCTTTTTCAATAAAAATAATTAAACAATTATTCATCAAATTTCAATTTTGGTCCTATGACTATTAATTAAGGTCTTGTTAATTGCAATCTATGACTTTTAAAATTGTTAATTTAGTACCTTAACTATTCAATTTTTATTAATTTTAGTCAAACTTCGACCAAATCTCACCAAAAAAAAATATTAATAGGTAAATAATGATGGTATTTTAATCATTTTTTCTCATTTCTTTCTTCTCCGACGAGTCCATCTCAGCTACCCTGTTTCTGACGACATTGATAATTGGAGTATAAGTGAGGGGCATAAGTTGCAATTTTCCCTTCAAAAAATGATATCCCGAAATGACTCAGACCATTTTTTGAAAAATAGTTTAATTTTCTAATGCTTAGTTTAAGGTTAGAAAACTTTATTGTTCTGTTTAGCAAGTTAAGAAATTACATTTTTTTCTTGTTTGGTTCATTTTCTTGAAAATAAAATATTATTTTCTATAATAATAATAATAATAATAATAATAATAATAATAAAGTTGTGGGTGTGGTAGAAATAATGATAATTTATAAACTAGAAAAGAGATGTGAGAGAAGATAAATTAGAGAAAATAAAAAATCTAAAAAATGTATTCAAATAAAAATTTAGAAGACAATCTACTATATTAAATATAATCATAATCACTTCTACCAAAGTTTGAACCCATCACCTTTCACATAAATTAAAGGAGCAATTTAGTACCACAAAGTACTTAATTATTCAAGTATAAATTTAATTTTTTTAAAGAGTTAAAAAAAATATGTATATAACCTCAAGCTAAGTCGCGCCCGCCGACCCCGACAAAAAGTAAGCATAGAAATATTTATTTTTAATTCTGTTACACTCTCTCTGCTGGCACCCTATATATACTTTGTGGCGAGACAAGCAGATGAAGATTTCCCGTGCTTCTGATCTTCTTGATAGATGAGTATATTTTATGTTTTGGGTCTCTGTCTCTGAATAAATTTTATGCTCAAGAGCCGCCTTAACCATTCCATTAAATTATTATTTAACTTAAACATGTAACAATTTAATTCAATTGATAATTATAAATTTTTATTTTTTTTCAAAACATAAAATATACTCAGAGCATACACAAGGTCACAAGCTAGCACGGGAAATCTTCATCTGTTTGTCTTTCCAAAAAGTATATATAGGGTGCCAGCAGAGAGAGTGTATACAAAATTAAAAATAAATATTTTTATTAAAAAATGTTAATAATGTCATGGTTCAATTCATGATGTTTTTTATTAAAAATAAAAATAAAAAATTGAAAGAGTTGTATAATTTTATTTTTTTTTTAACAATAGCATTAAATCCGATTTAAAAATCAGATTATAACCTTCAAAATTGACTACCGTAACAGCTGAATTAACACATTCAAACAGTCAGGTACTGTTCCGGTATGTTAGTAATGTTATTATTTATGTTATTATTTGTTATTCAGTTTGACTAGTCCTTATGTCTGACTAGTTATTTATGGCTTTCCTAGTTAATAGGATTAGTTTACGTTAATGTATATTAGGTGATTAGTTCTGTAATCACTATTGTATTGGAACATAAACGTTGATCCTTATCTCATCTGGTATCAGTCCAGGATCGTTTCTCTCTCCTCTTCACATTCATCGATCGCGCTCGATCGTTTTTCCTCCACCCCAAAACTGTTCGCCGGCCAATTAATTATGTCGACTGGTTCATCTGAAAGAACGGTCACCGCCGGCGACCTCACCCTCCCAAACCCCACCGCAAATTCCCTCTCAAGCGCGCATCACTTTGTGTCAATAAAATTGACATATCGTAATTTTCTTTTCTGGCGTACGCAATTGGTGCCCTTCCTCCGTGGTCAAGAGCTTCTCGGCTACGTTGACGGCGAGACACCTTGCCCACCGCCAACCATCCCGGCTGCTCCGGCCACCGGCGAGTCGACGTCCGATGCCACCACGGCCGCGCCGGTCCCGAACCCCGACTACCGTGCGTGGGTCAAGCAAGACCAATCTCTCCTCTCTCTGTTGATTTCATCGCTCTCCGATGAGGTCATGCACTTGGCCGTTGGGAAGACCACGTCTCGCGCCGTCTGGGATTCCGTCGGAGCCGCCCTCGGGAGTTCGACACGCGCACGGTGCCTCAGC